AAAAGAAACTGCAGCGTTTGGGAGCGGGCCCAAAAATGCAGCTATACCGAGCACAGAGCATCCAGCCATCCCACTATCCTACCAGTTGTAAAGGCTACTCTTGAACGCATGTTGCAAATAACATTGAGGTCTGAAACTCAGTGATCAATCTATTCTAGAGAAGCTGTCATAGAGACATCTGTTTAGATACAAATCTCTTTATTCCTATGCCAAAGCATCTTCCTAAAGAAAAACCCAACCAACCAAAAAACAACCCCACACTAAACACCCACAAAAAACAAACCAAAACAGCAAAGGCTGTGAATTCTTCCAACAAAACAGAAATGTGGGTGAAGAAATAAAATCCTGCAAATATGCTGGTATTAAGTTCTCTCTCTTGTCCCCTAGGAACTTTCCACATCTCAGAAGAGTGGAGGAAATCTACTTCAAATGCTGTATGATAAACCCACGAGATGGGCTTACACGTTTCAGACTTACGCTTGCTTGAGCCGAGTGAGGGCACAATTAAAACCTGTCTCAGCCAAGCTACAAGAAGCAGAACATCCAGTGCAATTTTTTGAGAGATCTGTGTACAGCGACAGGTAATTACTCCCACAGTGCAACATGAGTTCAGATTAAAAGCACATACCCTGCTCCAGCCCCAGAGCCGGGTGGTATTAAAAGTATTTTACAGATGTAGGCATCTACTTTCTCACTAGAATCGTGGTGCCAAGAAGTGTTTTAGTAGTTCGCTCTAGTCATTCCTCACAAGACTAACATCTTCTATTGCAGATACGTATTTGCTTCTAACCTATTTGAGTCTGGAAATATAAATGAAACGGAGTGGGCTGTTTATCAGGACTGGCACACATGGCTTTTGAATCAGTTTGAATCAGATATAGAACTGGATGGCATGATCTACTTAAGAACCACACCTCAGGTACGTTCACAATTCTTAGCTCCAACTTTTGTTTCCACGAACTTAAGTGGATACCAAAATTTCAGGATTCGTGACAATGCCCAGTGCTAGTCACTGCAGTTAGCTGCCCCCCCCCCCCCCCACAGAGACAAAAACCGGCCCACAAATTTAA